GAGTTTCCAGATAGGTTTGGTAAGGGGCTAGGCTTTCACTCCTTACTTTCCATCTTTTAGATATCTGATTGATGATCAAAGAAGAGTCTCTGAATATCCTTAATTTTTTCACTCCCAATGCCAAAGCTTTCAAGGCCTACCACGCATGCTTCATATTCAGCAGCATTGTTGGTAACGTCGAAATCAAGCTTTATGGAGATTGGGACATGCTCTTCTTTAGGTGATACTAGTAGCACTCCAACGTCACATCCCTTTTGATTTGAGGACCCGTCGAAGTATAAGGTCCAAGTATCATCTTCAGTGACCATTAAGTCTTCATCTGGAAATTTATTGTCTTGTATTGGCGTCGAGTCTTCAATTGGAAAATCTGCTAGAAAGTCTGACACCACGGATCCTTTGATAGCTTTTTGTGGCATAAACCTTACATCAAACTGGGCTAGATTAACTATCCATCTTTATATGCGTCCATTGAGTGTAGATTTCTCGAATAGATACTTGAGTGGATCTAATTGGGAGACTACGAAAACGGTGTGCACCAACATGTAATGTCTTAACTTAGTTGTGGCCCACACCAAGGCGAGGCACAACTTCTCGAGCGGTGTATAGCGTGCTTCGTATTCGAGCATATTTTTGCTTAGGTAATAGATTGCGTTCTCCTTGCCTTCTACCTCTTGTGCTAGCATAGCTCCCATTTTCTCCTTGGTGACTGTCAAATATAACTTGAGAGGTATTCCAGGAAGTGTTGGTGCTAATACGGGAGGATTTGCGAGATAGGCTTTGATCTTTTCAAAGGCTTTTTGACACTCATCATCCCATATTACTGGTACATTTTTCTTGAGTTTTTTGAAGATTGGTTCACATATCGTCGTCATTTTTGATATGAACCTACTTATGTATTGCAACCGGCCAATAAATCCTCGAATCTGTTTCTCGGTCTTGGGCGTGGCATTGACATGATTGCTTTGATCTTGGTTGGGTCTACCTCTATTCCTCTAGAGCTTATGACGTAACCCAAGAGCTTTCCTGAGGTGACTCAAAAAGCACACTTAGATAGATTCAACCTCATATTATATTTTCTTAGCCTTTCGAAAAATTTCCTTAAGGCTACTTGATGGCCTGGACGGTCTTTTGATTTTACAATCATGTCGTCGACATATACTTCGACTTCTTTATGCATCATGTCATGGAGTAAGGCAGTTGATGCACGTTGGTAAGTAGCACCCGCGTTTTTCAACCCGAATGGCATTAGCGTGTAGCAGTAAGTGCCCCATGGCGTTATAAAAGTTGTTTTCTCCATGTCTTCTTCTGCCATGAGAATCTGGTTGTAACCTGCATATCCATCCATGAACGAGAAAAGCGCGTGGTTTGTCGTGTTATCTACCAGAATATCGATGTGTGGCAAAGGGAAGTCGTCCTTTGGACTTGCCTTGTTTAGATCTCGATAGTCAACACACATCCTTACCCTTCCGGCTTTCTTCGGAACTGGGACGACGTTGGCGACCCATTCGGGGTATTTGGATACCTTGATGAAACCTGCAGTTATCTGTTTTTGAATTTCTTCTTTTATTTTAAGGGCTACGTCGGGTTTCATTCGACGCAACTTTTGTTTTACAGGTTTCATTCCTGGAATTAGTGGTATAGTGTGTTGAGCTATTTCTCTATTGATGTCTGGCATATCTTCATACGACCAAGCGAATACATCGATAAATTCTTTAAGTAAGTTAATTAAATCGGTTATTTCTTGTTTATTCAATGTTAATCCGATTTTAACTTCTCTTTTATGAGTTGAATCATTTGAGATATCAACTGCTTCAGTCTCTTCGATTACCGGTGTTTTCTTTTCGAGTGTTTCCATTTCTTTAATAATTTCTTTGTTTTTTTCATCGTTAGTTAAGCAACGCTCGTCATCTTGGGTTAGAGAAGAACACGAGAAGTAAGGAGAATGAGAAATATTATTATACTCTGAGATCATTACATCAAAGAGTGATATGTCCTCAGGGACTGGATCACTAACTATCTTAGGAGAAGAAATAGGAGGGGGAGATGTTACTACTAAAGATTTAGAAGACTCTAAAGGGAAGGACTCTGACTCGGAATCTGACTCAGACGACTCTTCAAACATCGGTCCTTGCCCTGTCGTGATGGATATCTTCCTTCTGCTTGGAGTAGTCACCTTGATAGTCTTGCGCCACCCTTGTAGTGATCCTTCAGCTGGAGTAATTAGCTTCGAGGGATCGAAGCTTTCACTTTGTAGGACTGTTTGAGTGAGCGAGGAGTTATCCTCTTTATAAGTTGGCTCATTCTTTTCTCGCCCAAACAGTAATCCCATGACGTTAAAGTCAAAGCATGGGGGTGCTTTCTCCTTGTAGAGAGGAGTTGGGATTTCATCAGTGAAGTAGCAATCCAAAAAAATCTCGAATCCCGGTTGTCATACGCCATTTACAACAAATGGCTCGGGAAATTCATGGCATGGATAGTCCTCTCCTTCTTTTATAAACTGACCGTTAAGTGTAAAAGGGTACTGATCCATTGGGATTGCTATCTTTTGAATGCGAGCATCCCTACGTGCTTTTGATTTTTCTTGGGCTTGCTTGAGATCTTTCCGAGTTGGTTCGAAACCAAGTCCGAAAGTGTCTAACTTAGGGAGGCCAGGTAACTCCAACGGTTTTTCCATTCCTTTCTTCTTCCCTAGGGTCATCCCAGGAAAGTGTCCTTGTTTCCGCCATCTTCTGTTTTGAACCTTAATGGGGAGATGTGTTCTATTCTCTAAGTTTACTCGAGGGCGAGTAAAGGTTCAAGTATGGGGGAATTTGATAAGCCGTCTTATCAAGGGTTGAGAGAAGAGTTTTAGGGTGTGTTTTGATGTTGTGCATGAGTTTTTAATAGCTTTTGTGAGTTTCGGGCAGTGATCTCACTTGTGTGCAAAAGCCGGGATTTATAGGTGTTAGTGAGTGAGTTCGGGAACTAATGAGGAGGATTATAGAGTATGGACCTTAGCTCGTGATTTGAGAAGCGTGATGGAGCTTGGAAGAGCAAGGGAGAAAGCTTGAGTAAAGGTGAAGCAAAGCTAGAAGAAAGAGCAAAGAAGACAGCAGAAGACAGCAGAACCGCTGCCAGGGCCGCTGGCAGCTGGCCAGAGCCGCTGGCAGCGGGTCAGCCAGAGAGGACGAAGTGTTTTGCTGCTTTAGCCGCTGCCAGCGGGTCCCGAGCAGCTGGCAGCGGGTCTTCCAGATTTCGGGGCCTGTTTTGGTTATTTTTCAGCAGTTTGCTTTGTCTTGGCTCGTGTTTTGTATTTATTTATTATTTTTATTATTGTTTTATATTATTTAAGTATGGAAACATATATATAGTCTATTTTTATGAAGAGTTAAAGGAGATTAATTAGGGAGAATTAAGTTAGAGAGAAGTAAAAGTTTTCTAGGGTTCTTGGCAAATTTCAGAAATCTTTGTTTTTGAATTAGAATCCATGGAAGCTTAATCTTCCGGATTCTTGGTTAAATATTGAAGCTTTTGGCTACGAATTGTGAGATTTCTCTTCTCTTTATTATTATCTATTGAATGTTTATTATTCCTTTGAATTATTTCATGATTTGCTTTAATCAATTGCTAGGTTAGAATTGTTAGATTCGCTTGCATCTAATTAATCTTTCCAAAGTAGCAACTTTGGGTTATGAATGCATGCTTTTGATTGATAACTTAAAGAGGGAATAATATTATTGAAGAAATTAGACCGCTTGTGTTAATTTATTCAATCCTTGTTGATTTCTCCGTTTATGTTCTTCTTGTGGATGATTTAGAGCGCTTGTCTTAAATTATACATTAGAAAGGGTTAGAAAGGAGCGCTTTGCTATTTCTAACTAGCTTATGAGAATTTAGAATTTAGAATTCTACAACAAGGTGTTCAATAGTGTTTGATTGAAGAGGCTTCTATGATCAATTTGTATGTTCAATTGTGGATTTCGCATAACCAAGACCGTTATTCTCATTGATTGCATACTATTTACGTTCATTGTTCTGATTTAGTTTAATTGTCACCATTGCTTGTCAAAACCCCCTTGTTACTTAGATTACTACGTTCCTAGAGTAATTCCACTTAGGTTTGCAGTTATTAGTCCCTTTTTCCCTGTGGATTCGAACTCGACTCCCCTAACTACGTTTATTTGCAGTTAGCTTAGTTGTGATATTTTTGGTTGCATACGACTGAGGCACATCAAATTTTGGCGCCGTTGCCGGGGACTAGGCGTTACTTTTTAATTGTTTATCTTAGTAGAATTTATTTTAGGGCTGTTCTTAGCTATCTTTCTTTGTTTGTTCGCTAGGGTATGATAGGTACCCGTTCTGCTAACAAAGAAGTTTTGCAGTTTGATCCAGAAATTGAAAGGAATATTTCCAGGTTGCGAAAAGAGGCAAGAACAACCCCCAGTGAATCAACGTACTCCTTCAATATTCAAGAAGAAGAAGAGATGGCTGACAATCGAACTCTAAGAGAACTTGCAGCCCCTAACTTGAACCAACAGCCGTTGTGCATTGCATATCAGCAATTGGAGGAAGGTACTAATGTTGAGATCAAATCCGGTCTAATTCATCTATTGCCGGCATTCCATGGCATGAAAGGCGAAGATCCGAATAAATATCTGGCAGAATTTCATGTGGTTTGCACTAGCATGAAACCGATTGGGATGACTGATGAACAAATTCAGTTGAGAGCATTTCCTTTTTCTCTCAAAGATGCAGCAAAGGATTGGTTTTACTATCTTCCCCCAGGTAGCATAACAAATTGGGCAGATTTGAAGAAGTGTTTCCTTGAGAAGTACTACCCAGCCACTATTTCTGCGAGCCTTAAGAAAGCTATCAGCAATGTGGATCAGAAGGAAGATGAATCCTTGTATGAGTATTGGGAGAGATGTAAGAGATTGTGTGCTAGTTGTCCTTACCATGGGTATTCCGATCAAGACCTCATCCTATACTTCTATGGAGGTCTAACTGATGATGACTTGAGGATGGTGAATGCAGCAAGTGGAGGAGGGCTAGTGAATAAGACTCCAGGAGATGCAACTAGGCTGATTGCAGAGCTAGCAGAAAATTCTAGGCAATTCAGTCAGAGAACTCCCACGCGCCGGGTGAATGCAGCAAATTCAAATACGTCTGAGTTAGAAAGTCAAGTAGCTGATTTGACTTCTATGATGCGTGAGTTCATGGTGAACTCAAGGAATCCGCAGCAACTGAATGCTTGTGGTATATGCACCTCCATGGGACATCCCACTGATGCATGTCCTCAATTACAAGAGGAGCAGAATGAGCAAGCAAATGCAATGGGTTTCCAAGGGCAAGGTCCTCAGAGAAGATATGATCCCTATTCAAATACATACAATCCAGAATGGAGGGATCATCCAAATTTGAGATATGGGAACTCCCAAGGGAACCAACAACAACAAAATGCTCAAGGCCAGCAACAGTATCAGCAATATAGGGCACCATTACCCAAAACTCAAGGCCAAAGCTCAAATTCGAATAATATGTCAACTGAAGAAATGATTAGATCATTAACTTCTAATGTTTCTACTATGCAGCAAAATATGGTGCAATTTCAGCAAGAAACCAGATCAAGTATTCAAAACCTAGAGAATCAATTTAGTCAAATCTCTAGTGCAGTAAGCCGACTTGAAGCTAAGGACTCTGGAAAGCTTCCATCTCAAACGGAGCTGAATCCTAAGCAACAGGTCAATGCAATAACATTGAGAAATGGCAAAGAGTTGCAAGAAACTGCAGTTGCAACTAAGAGGGCTAAAGACTTGATTGGAACTGAAGAGCAAGAAGTAGAACATGAAGCTGTGGCGAACCCACCAACTTTTCCCTCTTATGAACCCACACCACCTTTCCCTGAAGCCTTGCAAGATACTCGAAGGTATGAGAAAGACAAGGATATTTATGAGACTTTTAGCAAATGTGAGGTATATATTCCCCTCTTGAATGTGATTAAAAGTATTCCTCGTTTTGCTAAGTTTATGAAAGAACTGTGTACTATCAAGAGAAAGCATAGGTTGGGAGGAAAAGAGAAGGTAAAGGTGAGTGCTCATGTTTCTGCGGTTTTCCAAAAGAAAATCCCAGAAAAATGTGGTGATCCTGGTATGTTTATTGTTCCTGTTACAATAGGAGACACCACATTGCACCGAGCTATGTTGGACCTAGGTGCATCAATCAATGTCATTCCCTATCCCTGTTTAAATCTTTAAAACTTGGACCTTTACATGGAACTGGGGTAGTGATTCAGTTAGCGGATAGGTCTAATGTGTATCCTAAGGGGGTGGTGAAAGATGTGTTGGTTAAGGTTGATGGTTTGATTTTTCCTGCTGACTTTTATGTGCTTGACATGGAACATGACAAACAAGCAGTCCCCATCTTGTTAGGAAGACCTTTCTTGAAGACTGCTAAAACAAAAATCGATGTGTCTACCGGTTCCTTGACTATGGAGGTTGATGGGAAAGCAATTGGGTATAACATTTATGATTCCATAAAGTATCCTGTCAACACTCATTCTTTATGTTCTCTTAATGTTGTCGATCCAATGGTGCATGATGTTCCTAACAATGATCGTGGGGATGAGTTCCTCACACCTATAACTAATGTTGTATCTGGTGATTGCTTGGATTTCTCTATGCCTACTAATGTGCAGGTGAAGGTGGGGGAATTGAATGAACATTCCAAGCTTCCACCTATACCACCAGGTTCAACAATCGGCCCGTCCGCAATTCCGGGCAAGAAATTGTCCCATTTATACCACAAAGCAAAGAATAGGTTGTGGCATGACAAGATGATTGCTAGGAAGGAGTTCAAAGTCGGTGACAAAGTACTCCTATATCAATCCCGACTTAAATTATTTCCGGGAAAACTTCGGTCCCGTTGGGAGGGCCCTTTTCAAGTGGTGAACGTATATCCGCATGGAGCAGTTGAAATTCAAAGCCTCGAGACCGATAAGGTTTTCAAAGTCAATGGACAAAGGCTCAAACCCTACTTCGAGGGTTTCAAAACCGAGAACGTGGAGAGCATCGATCTCTACGAGCCATCAATGGAGTAGCGAAGTGGGATGAGCCGCGTCGAGCCAACGACGTAAAACAAAGGCGCTAATCGGGAGGCAACCCGATCGAAAACTCTTCCCCATTTCTTTTCGTAGTTTATTTTTTTTATTTTTTCTTGTGATGTGAAGAGTGTTTTTGTTGTTTCTATGTAGGTGGAGGCCTCGGGAGCATCTTTTATGCCCGAAACACAGCAAAAACAAGCTGAAACAGAGCCAAAGGGGACATTCCCTGCTGAAGCCGCTGGCAGCTGCTCTGCAGCCGCTACCAGCGGGTCTTCAGGCAGGCCAAAAATCCCAGGCTCTGTCCCAGCCGCTGGTAGCTGCTGCAGAGCCGCTACCAGCGGCACCCCCCCTCAAAAAAAAAAAAAAAAAAAAAAAAAAAAAGGAATCAGTATCAGCCGCTGCCAGCGGGCCTCAAGCCGCTACCAGCGGCTCCACCAGCCTCCCCGATTTTTTCCCCCTTATTTCCCCCTTTCCAACTCCTACCTTCATTACTCCTTTCGTAAACCCCAATTCCCACAAACCCTTACTCCTTTTCTCCTCCTTCTCTCTATTCTTTCATCCCCTTACTCCAATTGCACCAATCTCCCTTTCCCAAGTCCTTGCCTTTCATCCACTCCTCAATTCCCATCACAATTACAACCTAGATTTTCCATTTTCTCTTGATTTCAAGTTTGACATTGAGTTGGTTGTGCAGTTGTGCAAGTTGAATTTCTCGTAATTGAAAGTGAAGGTAAAGGTACAAGCATACAATTAGAGTCATGGGTGGGGATAACAAGAGGTCTAAGGCATCATCTCCATCAAGACCCCCAAGGGGCAAGAAGCAAGGTGCTTCTTCTAGTCAAGGTGAGGCACCTCCATTGCCTCGAGGGGATGGATTCATGGGTGTGCGGTTGAATTCCAAGGAGAAGGGGATATGGACTAAGCTTCAACAACCACGACGAACGGTGCAATGCACCAAGTTTTTTGACTTAGAAGCTTTGCAAGAGCTAGGCATGGAGGAAGTAGTGCGGCTCTTGCTACGGAAAGTGGGTCTGGAGAATTTCATGACCAAATGCGCCCCCACCTATGTCAGGTATACCTATGAATTCCTTTCAACTCTTACTAAAGGACGTGATCAAATTTCCTTTAATTTGAATAATAGGAATTATATTGTATCATATGATGATATTAGAATGGCCTTTGGTTGGGATGCACCCCCATTGGTGAACCATTGGGGTGATTATACCACGTACTCGTCCCGAACATTTTGGAGGGCTATAACTGGTTGTGAAGTTGACCCTCATGGTGATCATAGCTTCAAGATCACTCACCCATGCCTTAGACTCGTGCATAGGTTTATTTCGTCCACTATTCTATGTCAAGGGGAAGCCACTAAGGTTCCCAAAATTACATTGTCTTATTTGTGGGCGATGACCCCGGAGGGTGTCGGTACTCCCAATTGGGTCGAGATTTTTGTTGACAGTTGTGTAAAGGTGCGGTCAAACTTCAGTGGCCACATTAGCATGGGTGGCATGGTCTCTTTGCTTGCTTGTTATTTGAATGTTCAACCCCCTGAGGATCTTGTGCCAGTAGATTCGGCATACTTAACGTATAACATCATGACTCTGGTCAAGATCGGTCTATTATCGCGTTCCCTCGTCGCCGGTAGTTATTTCTGGCGATACGGACCACATGGTTTGAACTATTTGAGACTTCCTCGTCCCGAGGGACTAGCATTACCTTTTGGCCCTGCTGCCGCAGACTTTTTCCTTGCGCCCGACCCGGATGTTGCCCCCTATTTGGGAGATGCCGAAGTAATAATTGAGAACATGGGAGAGGAGAATCCCGATGTTCATATGGGCGGAGAGTTTGTTGATGAGGAAGGGGGTGAGGATGCTGCTGGAGTGCGGCACGGTGATTGGCCTCACTGGAGGGCTGATGTAGATGATAGACTAGAGGAGGTGTGCGATGGGATGCAAGAGCTGCTTGCATATCAGAGAAGCATGAGTCGGTTTTATACCGCTCAATATCCACTGTATGAGCCCCCAACTGAGGCGTTCATGGATCACCTGGCATCCCGTGCTTTGCGTCGTTCCGAGAGGCGTGCTTCTCGGGGTGATGCCGGCTCTTCTGGCTCTGGAGGTCCCTCTCATTGAGATGGTAACGATTTTCTTCCTTTTCCCTTACTTTTGTTTTCATTGTAGTTGTTCTTGCATCGAGGACAATGCCTCATTTAAGTAGGGGGGGGAAGCTTTTCATTGCATAATTTTTGAAATTTTGTATAGTTATCTTGATTTCATGTTTTGTATAACTATCTTAATTGTGGTTCAATGAAAAAAAAAAATGCAAAAAGAAAAAGAAAAAAGAAAAAAATTGAAAAAAAAAAGAAAGAAAAAGAAAAAGAAACCCGCTAAGCCGAAAACCTGAAAAGGCGGCTTAGGCAAAAATGGGGGCCCGGTTAGGTTGAAAACCCGAAAGGGCGACCTAAGCAAAAAAGTGGCTAATGAGTGGGTGAGAAAGTGAGATTTGGAAAAAGATGAGAGGCTAGGATGAAAACCCGAAAGGGCTCCTAGGCAAAATGAGAGAAGAGAGAGAAAAATTCGTGAATTTGCGCATCCATTTGCCGGAGTCGGTGTCATAAGGGGAGGAGAAATATGGAGGTGTCGGGTAGGTCTCATCTTGATGTTTTCGGGAGATAGTTGAAGTTCGGGAGAAGTGTTGATCATGCTTAGAAAGCTAGAGTTATTTTTCTTGACTTTTGAGTGTGGAAGTGTTTTCTTTTGTGGACTTTTGGTTTAGTTGAGTCTTGTTTGCCCAATTTTATCAAAAGTTTCGTGTGGTAGGATAGTTGAGAATATCTATGCTCTTGGCTATGTGCTTGTTGTTCTAGGTTGGTTTTGGGGGATGAGTTGAATGTAAAAAAAAATGAAAAAGGGAGTTTGTGAAGTGAGAAGGCGGTTAGTTGGTGGTTGCTAGGATGTCTTCTTGAGTTTGAATGCGTAGAGCTTGTTCGGTTCCGCCATCTTCTGTTTTGAACCTTAATGGGGAGATGTGTTCTATTCTCTAAGTTTACTCGAGGGCGAGTAAAGGTTCAAGTATGGGGGAATTTGATAAGCCGTCTTATCAAGGGTTGAGAGAAGAGTTTTAGGGTGTGTTTTGATGTTGTGCATGAGTTTTTAATAGCTTTTGTGAGTTTCGGGCAGTGATCTCACTTGTGTGCAAAAGCCGGGATTTATAGGTGTTAGTGAGTGAGTTCAGGAACTAATGAGGAGGATTATAGAGTATGGACCTTAGCTCGTGATTTGAGAAGCGTGATGGAGCTTGGAAGAGCAAGGGAGAAAGCTTGAGTAAAGGTGAAGCAAAGCTAGAAGAAAGAGCAAAGAAGACAGCAGAAGACAGCAGAACCGCTGCCAGGGCCGCTGGCAGCTGGCCAGAGCCGCTGGCAGCGGGTCAGCCAGAGAGGACGAAGTGTTTTGCTGCTTTAGCCGCTGCCAGCGGGTCCCGAGCAGCTGGCAGCGGGTCTTCCAGATTTCGGGGCCTGTTTTGGTTATTTTTCAGCAGTTTGCTTTGTCTTGGCTCGTGTTTTGTATTTATTTATTATTTTTATTATTGTTTTATATTATTTAAGTATGGAAACATATATATAGTCTATTTTTATGAAGAGTTAAAGGAGATTAATTAGGGAGAATTAAGTTAGAGAGAAGTAAAAGTTTTCTAGGGTTCTTGGCAAATTTCAGAAATCTTTGTTTTTGAATTAGAATCCATGGAAGCTTAATCTTCCGGATTCTTGGTTAAAGATTGAAGCTTTTGGCTACGAATTGTGAGATTTCTCTTCTCTTTATTATTATCTATTGAATGTTTATTATTCCTTTGAATTATTTCATGATTTGCTTTAATCAATTGCTAGGTTAGAATTGTTAGATTCGCTTGCATCTAATTAATCTTTCCAAAGTAGCAACTTTGGGTTATGAATGCATGCTTTTGATTGATAACTTAAAGAGGGAATAATATTATTGAAGAAATTAGACCGCTTGTGTTAATTTATTCAATCCTTGTTGATTTCTCCGTTTATGTTCTTCTTGTGGATGATTTAGAGCGCTTGTCTTAAATTATACATTAGAAAGGGTTAGAAAGGAGCGCTTTGCTATTTCTAACTAGCTTATGAGAATTTAGAATTTAGAATTCTACAACAAGGTGTTCAATAGTGTTTGATTGAAGAGGCTTCTATGATCAATTTGTATGTTCAATTGTGGATTTCGCATAACCAAGACCGTTATTCTCATTGATTGCATACTATTTACGTTCATTGTTCTGATTTAGTTTAATTGTCACCATTGCTTGTCAAAACCCCCTTGTTACTTAGATTACTACGTTCCTAGAGTAATTCCACTTAGGTTTGCAGTTATTAGTCCCTTTTTCCCTGTGGATTCGAACTCGACTCCCCTAACTACGTTTATTTGCAGTTAGCTTAGTTGTGATATTTTTGGTTGCATACGACTGAGGCACATCACATGGCATTGACAATCATGTTTGAATGGGGGTCATGGCAAAGAGGGGTCCTTTCATCCTCCTTGATTAAGGAGACTTCTTCGTTAAAGCCCCATAGGTCTTCATCATCCTCGTCGTGCTCCACATTGATAATTGGATTTTCTATAGATTTGATCCTCATAGGCGAAGCATCGATGGTGATTGGAATTCCCCCAACTATAGCTTTCACTTGTTGGTGGAGAGATGAAGGGACGGCCTATAGGTCATAAAGCCAAGGGCGTCCCAATAATAAGTTGAATGAAGCTTTGATGTCTACTACTTGGAAAGTAGTAGCATGTTCTATTGCTCCTGCCGTTACATTTAGGGTAATCTTGCCAAGAGCTTGACGTCGAGTGTTGTCGTAGGCCCTTATTCTTTGTGTAGACGGAGTTAAATCTTCGTCTCTTATACCAAGCATCCTCGCAGTTCTGAGTGGACAGACGTTGATGGCCGATCCATTGTCTACAAGAGTCATAGGAACATTCATCCTTTTGCAAACTACTGTGAGGTTTAATGCCTTGTAATGTTTGTCACCTTCTGGGGGTAAATCTTTGTCAGAAAAGGTGATCAAATTAATCGGGCTAAGAAGGTCACTTGTGAGGAAGTTGGATAGTCCCTCAAGAGTAGTGTCAGAGACTATCCAAATCTTGTCCAAGGCATTCATTACAGCCAACCTATGTTCTTGAGATGTTGCCAGAAGCTTCCACACATTCATCTCAACCTTTGTCTTCTTAAACTGCTTAACAATGTCATTGTCTTCAATGATAGGTATGGGAACTTGTTGTGTGGTTGGCATAGTTTGTGTTGAAACGGGAGGTTGCATTCTCCCAGATCTTGTGAGGACGTCTATCGATGAGTCTTCTCCAGCCCAAATGTCATCTGTGGTGTATGACATAGAAGGTGGAAGTCCTACTAGGTCTTTTAGATAGACATCTTCTTCATCACTGTCCCAAACTCCATTAATGGTTGCATCCTCTTCTTGTTGAACTTGGACTAGTTTCTTTTCATCAATCATTTTCTGTACCAAATCCTTGAATTTGAAACAGTTTTCTATAGTGTGACCCCCTGATTGATGATACTGACGGTAATATCTATCTGTCCTTTTCAACGATTCAAATGGTCTCGGTTCGAGAGGTTTGATCTCGCCACTCTCGGAGAGCATTTCGAACATTTGTGCATATGGGATCCCAATTGGAGTGTAAATTTTATTAC